TTAAATCAATCGCACATTGGTAGGATATAAAAAAGAATTTTCCAAACCCATGGTATCTGGCTTCAAATGAGAAAGTAAAATGAACAATAAAGATAACATCAAATAATAGAAATAAATGTCATATGATATGTTCACACATAAGCAAATGTGTAGATATGGTTTACACCTCCCCCAACCCAGATAAATACACATACATACACATATGCAAACACAAAAGAAGGGAAAAAACGAGTGCAAAAATTTCAAAATAATTTTTTTTCAAACAATGTCGTCTAATTATGTCCCACTATCTTTCAAGAAAAGTGAGAGAAGAAGAAAGAAAGGGGAAGAGACAGTAAACTTGTTGAACTAAATAGATTGTAAAAATAATGGTAAAAATGTAATTGCCAAATGAAATGGAAATATGTTTGTACAAACCAATTCATAGTCAATTGAATATGGTAACGTATCCACTCCTGATGTACATATGGTTGTGTGTCTTGGTGATACAGACGAATTTCATGAAATTCACATATTTATCAAAGTATGAAAGAGACTACATAAGCAGTTCCAATATGTCAAGATCACACAAATAAAAAAATTCAAATGTGCAAAATTCTACAAATCAAATATGTCATAGTTGCAGAATACAACATAGGGTTGTGATTGACATGAATGCATATAGAAATTAGCAAGGCCTTTTAACAAAGATCCTATCAATAATCACACAGACACAAGGAAAAAAAACCCAATGCCAAAGTCATTGATGTTGCTTCACATTTTTAGCTTTCCATAACATAAATCAATATTCGTCATAGTTTGTAAGTATAATTGGAAAATTACTCAAGGTGTTTAATATAAAGGTCAATATCGAACATTAAGACCCCCATACTCAACAAAGATATGGAAATTCTTATATAAATTTACAAGCTTACTAAGTGAAAATCTACATATCAGGAATAATTAAAGGTGATCTTTTCCTTGCATTTTTAAAGCAAAAATGTATCCCCTAAATGCTTGTAAGTGAAGAATTCGACTTATAATGTATAAAGACATACCCACAAAAAGGAAAATTTGTGAGTACTTCAACATATTTTTCTTTGGTAAGTGAAATTCTGCAACATTGATTTGTAGACCATAGTTAGAAATCTCTGCAAGAAACTATTAAGGTGATATTACTACAAAAAAAAAGCTTGTAAGGGCATCAATTATAGGAGGATAACAACAAATGAAGTAAACTTATCGATAATACTTAAATGTGATTTATAAGATTTTCGGTCAATGGAATAGACGTCACTTTGTTTAAGATTGTTCAATTGGTATCTTTAATTTGGAAAGTAACAAGAAAGGTTCAGTAGTTATTATTATCTTTATAAGTGTCGCTTGCCATTTCTTAGAAAAAACTAATGCACTAAGTTCATAGAAAAATTGATTAGAGAAATCTCTTGGTCGAATCTTGATTTTCTAGTTTAATTTTATGCTAACCCATTTTCTTATTCCCACTAGAATGACTTAACTTTACCAAATCACCCATGTCATTAATTAGCCATAGCCCTATATGGATTAGGATAAACAGATAATTATCATACACTCAGCTCAAACCCTAAATGAAATAAAAACACATTTCAAGCAAAAGCATCCAAACAAACCAGAATATCAAAAGATTAACATAAGGCAGCAAATATAAATTAGAAACAACAAATAGTACTTGAAGTAACTCCCACCTGCATATAGAAATTTTAGTTTATGATTAGAGCAATGATTTGATACTACTAATCCCTAAGTGAAAATAACAAAATGCTCTAGAAGTGTGACCCTTCCCCTCAACAAAGATTACATTACCTCAACAATGCTTGAGATGAGCAAAAGGTAGAAAGCTAAGACAAACTCATGGAAGACCACTCATTACTTGGATTGAATCGAAAATGAAAATTCGGAATCCAATTGAAAATAAGTTGGTGGATTGTACGAATTCTAAAATGAATCGCCTTTTCTAAAGTAGTGTTGGTAAACAAACCACTTGCTTGCTATTATTTCGGCAGTCTCAAAAGCTTGCTTCAAATCAAAGGAGCATACAACAAAGATCATAGTCTCCTTGGAGAGTCATCAGCCACCTCAACAAAAAAAGATTATTTATTAGTCTATATAAAGGTCACATAAAAATGTATTTTTATACAAATTATAACTTACTTCAACTACTTGCTATCTCCCAAGTCCCAACCTCAGGTAAGTGAACATCTAGGCGTCCCTAGTAAGCAACCGGAAAAGCTGAGGAAAATTCTGTTTGTACCTCTAATTTTTTGGATTGCTTCCTCATGCATCAGAATTGGCTGCACGGTTATACCAGCGAAACCGCGCAACACCTGTTAGAACCCACCCCCAACAAATCTCTGACCATTTGACTGCAGCAAGCAAGCAGTTGTCAATTTACGTATCTGCGTCGACCCTTGCCATTCTTTTCCTTGAAGCCGCTACACCTGACCACTCCTTTTTCCCATGATCCGTTTCATCTTCTTGGTAAATGGGTTCATGAAAAATGAGAATTAAGAAGAGGTAAGACGAATGGACTGTGAAATTTTAATCCCGCTGTCAGTTGTAGAAAACAAAACTAAAGGCATTAATTTTAACATTAATGCTACGTTGATCAAATTAAAAGTTCAAATGACATGACAGTTGACTTGTACTTTTTTATTTGGTGTTATATTATTTGAACCCCAATAAAGACTTCAAATAATATGTTGTCATGTTATTCGACGTTATGTGAAACTACTCCTCCCCTATGTCTCTGCCTCCACCAAACTTTTGAAGAAGAGATCAATTCTATAATAATACATCACAACATATTGACATAACAAAATAGAAGAAAAAAAATTAAAAAATGTGCACGAACAAAATTTTAAAAAAACATTTGCATGAAAAGTTTAAAAATCTCTAAAAGAAAAAAATTAAAAATATCTGCATGAAAAAATTAATTTATCAACTTAGGTAGTGTTCGATCACTGTGGAGAACGACTTAAGAGAAGAATAGCTAGCTTTAATTTCCTACGTCTTGCAGCAAAATCAGATCGTTTTTTACTTTTAGCAACAACAAAGGGCATGATATATATCGTGAGAAAATGGTTGAAGGCATTTTAGTATATTTATATAAGGAAAGATAGTTTTGACTTTTTCAAAAAATTTATAATCAAACCCTTACTTTTTGTGTTGGCAGAGTTAAAAATTGTCATTAAAAGGAATGTCTTTAATTTGAAAGTATAAATCAAAAGAAGGTGTAATGAAGTTTCAGAATTCAGAGGGGGTGTGGATGACATTTTCTCAAATAATTAAGTTAATAAATTTTGTTCAAGTAACATTGGTGTTTATAAAAACAAATAAACCAAATGCGACCTAAAAAGTGATGTATTTATTAAAAAAGTTGACCAAAAAATTTACTAAATAAAAGTTAAAGGTTAGATCAATAGTTCCGAACCAAATAAATAAATCTCATTGATCTAACCATCAACATTTTAGATAGGAGAATAGATTTTCTACGGGCAGCTTGTAAACCAATTGTTTAGCGGCAGTGAATTAAAATTTAACAGATACACAAATACACAAACCAATGTTAAGGATTTGTGTAATTATCAAATTTGAGTGATTGTCCGTAAATAATTAGTTTACAACCTGCATTTAAAAAAATTATTTTCTCTCGATATTCAGGCTGCTATCACATCCCAATGTGTGATTAAGGTTGCAAGAATCGAGTAAGTTTGGGAAAAAAAAAATCACAAATATTAAAAATGTTAATATAAAAGCAAACGCTATTTAAAAAAAAAAATTTAAAACGAGCAAAAAGAGTAACAGAAGTAATTTGAAAAAATAGTACCACATGGTACATTAATAATTCTAAATTTTGGGCCAACAAAATTCAATTTTAGAATTGAATCTAAATAAATTTCAACGGTCAACGAATCGGAAATAATCAAATGGAATAATCTAATCCTTGACCAAACGGAACTCAAACGGAATCTTTTTATGTCACTTTCTGTTCGCACATAGTTCCACAATTGGTCAAGTTAAATACACTTCGCATTGTTGTCGGACAACGTTTTTAATTGTTTTTGGAATTTAGATAAGGTCAAGATCGTCAGTTTCCTAAGAAGCCTCTATTCTCTAATGTCATCCATGACAATCCCCCAATCTCCTCCCCCCCCCCCCCCCCCCCCCCCCCCACAGTGCTCACACAAAAGAGCTACTGCTCTTTTGTAATTTTGATTAATTTGTCAATAAAAAATGGTCTCAATCACGCAGTTGATTGAATTAGTGACTATAATTTAAATTTGGCGTGTACATAATTATTTGTAAAACAGGTATATCAATTCAATTAGATCATTTTTTTACTAGAAACTTGAAAGGGTACTCCATAAATATCTTTAACCAATTACCCCGTGGGTTTTCTCATAAACCACGGCTTGACTTTATATAGAACGCGATGAGATACTAATATATTATTATTTAATGTCAACGATGAAAAAAGGTCGACAACCATTTAGCATGGAAATAGCCATCAAATTGCTCCCAAAGAACGAATTGACTATAATACGGAAAAAAAAAATTTGGTATCATGTTTTTAACTTTTATTACTTTAATAAGTGTTTTTCTAGTTTTTGTCGGTCATTTAATTATTAAAAAATTTCACACTTTTATAAATATTTTTACTATTGTTGTGGATATTTTTCTCATTGTTATGATAATTATTTTTACTATTTTTTTAATACAAAGAAATTTTTATTTTTATGAGTGATTTATCATATTTGTAAGTATTTTTATCATTATTATAAATATTTTTATTACTATAACGATTATTTTTATTATATACAATAATAAAAGTTTCTACAACTATGATAAATAAATGAATGGTACTAAAAAAGATTTTCAATACCAGAGACAACTCCCCCAAAGAATACAAGGTCTTGCTTATAAAACGTAAACCTCATATTGGAAACATACCCCAACCTCATTGAGTACTTTAAACCTTTTCAATGGAAAACCACCACCACCACAACCATAACAATGGCCAGAATGACCGAAGAGAAGGCCACCAAATAGTTGTGCTTATGGTGCCACAACCAGCTCAAGGCCACCTCAATCAGCTTCTCCGTCTTTCCCGTCTCATCTCATCCTATGGTATTCCCGTCCACTACGTCGGAACCACCTCCCACAGCCCCCAAGCCAAGCTGCGCATCCACGGATGGGATCCACTCGCCGCCACAAACATCCATTTCCATGAATTTCCAACCCCTTCCTTTCTCTCTCCCCCTCCTAACCCTAATGTCTCCTTCCCATCACATATTATGCCATTATTTTATGCATTATTGAGGCTTCGCGAGCCTGTTGGTGCACTCCTACGCTCACTATCAACTGCAAGTAAAAGAGTCGTCGTCATTCATGACTCTCTAATGGCTTCGGTCGTGCAAGACGTCCCTTCAACACCGAACGCCGAGTCTTACAGTTCTGAAAGCGTATCAGCTTTTTTCATCTCCTTGTTCCATGGGAAACAGGAAAACCTATCCCAATTGAACCGGAAATATTAAAAAAGGCTCCACCTATCAAAAGTTGTGTGACATCGGAGTTTATGGAATTTATACAAACACAACAACAGCACGGGAGCTTCAACTCTGGATCTCTTTACAACACATGCAAATCAATAGAAGATCCGTACCTTGATATGCTAGCAGAGGACCAGATTAATGGAACTAAGAAGCAATGGACTATTGGGCCTTTCCATCCGGTTGAAATATCGAAGGACGAAGGTTCAAATAGGCGTCATTCATGCTTGGAGTGGCTTGACAAACAGGTTCCAAAATCTGTGATTTTTGTATCTTTGGGAACCACCACTTCATTGTCTGACGAACAAATCAAAGAGCTTGCAATTGGATTAGAACAAAGCGAGCAAAACTTCATCTGGGTGTTGAGAGATGCAGATAAAGGAGATATATTTGCAGGAGAGGTTAGAAAAGCTGAACTGCCAAAAGGGTACGAAGAGAGAGTGGCAGGAAGAGGAATAATGGTGAGAGACTGAGCACCACAATTGGAGATTCTGGGGCATCCTTCAACAGGTGGTTTCATGAGTCATTGTGGATGGAATTCATGCATGGAGAGTATGAGCATGGGAGTGCCAATAGCAACCTGGCCAATGCATTCAGACCAACCAGCCAATGCTCTGCTGATAACAAAGGTGCTTAAAGTGGGTCCGGCGGTTAAGGATTGGGCTTGCAGACATGAGATTGTGATGTCATTAACGGTGGAAAATACTGTTAAAAAATTGATGGTGTCAACCGAAGGAGACGAGATCAGGAAGAGGGCGGCAGATTTGGGTGGTTCTATTCGGCAATCTGTGGAGGACGGCGGAGTTACTCGTATGGAGTAGGATTCTTTTATTACTCACGTCACTAGATAGATTTGTTTGTCCCCATGTCAGCAAGTGGGCTGTAGAATTATGTGGTTCTATTTCTATAGTGATTTGTCTCTGTTTTTGCCTAGTACTATTTTATTGTAATCTTTTTTATATTGCACTAATAAATAATTATCTCAACCATCGGTCGTACTAGTAGCCACGACATGAATTTTGGATACACACAATAACCTAAAAACTACTCATATCTACTAAATCAGGTCATCTCTTAAGAGACTCAACTTCACATAATTATAATCCCAAGTAATTTTCATCTTAAATTTTAAATTATCGAGATGTGTTTATTAGTGAAATAAAATTGGTATTTTGGAATAACAACGGAAACTTCATTATAGTTCTTTTATAAATATTAATTATAATCATCAAACATATTATAAATACGTTAATTTGAGAAAGTTGACAACGATTTGCATTGCAAGTGTCTTATAAAGCCCAAATCACAAAATTGAAGCACAATCAAACCTCATTGAGTACCCATTCCTTTCCGATGGACCACCACAACCCCCACCACCACAATCATGGCCAAAATAGCCTAAAAGAAACACAAATAGCAGTGGTAATGGTGCCGATACCAGCTCAAGGCCATCTCAACCAGCTTCTCCACCTTTCTCGTCTCATCTCATCTTATGGTATACCAGTCCACTATGTCGGAACCACCACCCACACCCGCCAAGCCAAGCTGCGTGTCCATGGTTGGGATCCTCTCTCCGTCAACAACATCCATTTCCATGAATTGCCAACCCCCTCCTTTCTCTCTCCCCCTCAAGACCCCAACGTCTCCTTCCCATCGCATATTGTGCCATTACTTTATGCATCATCGAAACTTCGTGATCCTGTTGCCACACTTCTACAAGCTCTCTCAACTACAACTAAAAGAGTCGTCGTCATTCATGACTCTCTAATGGCGTCACTTGTCCAAGACATCCCTTCAATATCGAACACGGAGTCCTATAGTTTCCATAGCGTCTCTGCTTTTTCTTCTTGCTTGTTCCTCTCGGTATTGGGAAGACCTGTCTCAATTGGACAAGATATACTAAAAGAGGCTCCATCAATGGAAAGCTGTGTAACATCACAGCTCATTGAATTTAGTCAAACACAACAAGAGCACAAGAATTTCAACTCTGGAACTCTTTACAACACCTGCAAAGTAATAGAAGATCCATATCTTGACATACTTGCAGAGAACCAAACTGCTGGAACTAAGAAGCAATGGGCTATTGGACCATTTAATCCAGTAGAGATATGGAAGAACACAAATTCAAGTACCCGCCACCCATGCTTGGAGTGGCTTGACAAACAGGTTCCAAAATCTGTGATTTTTGTATCATTTGGAACCACTACTTCATTATCTGATGATCAAATCAAAGAGCTTGCAATCGGGTTAGAACAAAGTGGGCAAAAATTCATCTGGGTGTTGAGAGATGCAGATAAAGGAGATATATTTGAAGGAGAGGCTAGAAAAGCTGAACTTCCAAAAGGGTACGACGAGAGAGTGGCAGGAAGAGGAATAGTGGTGAGAGACTGGGCACCTCAATTGGAGATTCTGGGGCATCCTTCAACAGGTGGTTTCATGAGTCATTGTGGGTGGAATTCATGCATGGAGAGTATGAGCATGGGAGTGCCAATAGCAACCTGGCCAATGCATTCAGACCAACCAGCCAATGCTCTGCTGATAACAAAGGTGCTTAAAGTGGGTCTGCTGGTGAAGGATTGGGCTTGTAGACATGAGATTGTGACGTCATTAATGGTGGAAAATGCTGTTAAAAAATTGATGGCGTCAACCGAGGGAGACGAGATCAGGAAGAGGGCGGCAGATTTGGGTGTTTCTATTCGGCAATCTGTGGAGGACGGCGGACTTACTTGTATGGAGTTGGATTCTTTTATTAGTCACATCACTAGATAGATTTGTTTGTCCCCACATCAGCAAGTGGGCTGTAGAATTATGTGGTTCTATTTCTATAGTGATTTGTCTCTTTTTGCCTAGCCAACATTCTTGAACGTGGCTGATAACATTTTTTTATCTTTTTAAGTGTTTGTGTTTTGTCAGTTTAATTTTTAATATATAAATTTTATTAATTTGATATTTAAAATATTTAATTCGTATTTAAATAGTCTTTAAATTGATGATTCATTAATTTTTTTTGATAAAAATAATTATTTTTCATTCTTTTATAAAATATCACGTGGCTAAATAGTGCAAGCCATTCTAAACATTAAGCTGCCCCTGTTCCCCAGAGATGACTACATGGCCTCGAAGTGCCTACTAATTCTACGTACACCATTAAGAGAGAAACGCATGACAAGCACAACCCTTATCCGAGTTGTATCTATTAGATAAAAGAGTTTTTTTTAGTAGGTACATATTTTTAGACTTATTTAAGAGAAATTATATAAATAAATTATTTGTTCTAATAAGTTCAATTTTAATAAAGAGCAATGTTACATAGAGTTAAAAATTAGACGTGATAATTATAACTACAGATTTTACTGTGAGTCCTATTATTTATTGAGACTCACTACCTATTCAATAGTTGAGATTATCAAGTCTTATTTTTAAATTTAATTTTTAAGTTCATGTATCATTATTTTTTAATAACATATCTTGTGATTAGGTACAAAATTTAAATGATCTTTTATTTATTTTACTTACTTAACATTTTTTAAATTATACATCATTCTTATTTTTTTTACTCTCTCTCCCTCCTTGTTTATAACACTGTTATTGTCTCTCTCTCCATTATTCTCTCACTCTTTCTCCCATATTTTCTTTCTATCTCTCTCATTCTCTCTGTCTCCATTATTTCTCTCTCTCCCTTTTTTCTCTGTATCCTCTCTCCTATTTTCTCTCTATCGCTTTGTCTGTTACTTTCTAGAGTAGTGCTATGCAGCTCAAATTTATAATATAAATTTGAATCTCAAATCAAGGAGGATCATTGGATCAATGGGTCCCATCAACTTTTTTAAAATGAGACCCACTGATCTAATGGTTCTTATTAATTTGGGATGCAAATTTGGATTACAAATTTGGGATACATACATTTACTCTACTCTCTATCTCTCCCCTATTTTTTCTCTCTCCCTTCTCTTTCTTCCATTTATAATTTATTTTCTTGTCAAATATGTAAAAACTTGATTTGATTTTTTCATCTCTCTCCCCCTATTTTATCTCACTGTTACTCTATCTCTTCATATTTTTTCCCTCTTGGTACTCTCTCTGCCTATCTCTGTCTCTCTTTATTAATATTACAATAACATAATTATACCAATCAATTCTAATTGTCCTATAATACAACAAACAATTACTCGTGTGTTATGATAAATCAAACAGTTACACCAAACAATTATACAAAATTATGATATCTACCAAATTTGTTATTCAATTGTTTACATAAACTAAATTATTACACCATTTAGTATTACGATATGGTTATACTAATTATATACACTAAATTTGATATAATGGCAAACTCTTTTGTGTAATGATAAACCAAATTTGGTGTATATAATTGGTATAACCATGTCGTGATACTAAATGTTATAACTCTTTGTTTTATGTAAACAATTGAATAACAAATTAGGTCAGTGTTATAATTTCATGTAATTGTTTAATTTATTAGAATACAAGTAACTATTAGGTATATTATAGAGCAATTATAACTAATTGGTGTTACTGATTCGTTTAATTGTGTTATTGTAACATTGATAGAAGGAAATAGAGAGAGAGTAACAATGAGCGAGAGAAAATAGTGGGATAGAGTGAGGAGAGCGAGAGAGCGAGAGAAAAAATAGGGCAAAGAAAGATGAAAAAAATCAAAGCAAATATTTACATATTTGAAAGAAAACAAATTATCAATGGGGGAAAGGGAGAAGGAGGGAGGGAGGGAGGGAGGGAGAATATGGAGAGAAAGAGTAACGGTAAGAGAAAATAAGGACAGAGAGAGAGAGTGAAAAAAGAGAGAAAATAGGGATAAAAAAAATTAAATTAAATATTTACATATTTAAAAGAAAATAAATTGTCAATAAGAAAAGAGAGAGAGAGAGAGAAAATAGGAAAAAGACAGTAAAAGAATAATGGATAGAGAGGAAGAGAGAAAGTAATAAAGTAATGAATGACCTTTTAGTATTTTTTCAAAAAATTGTATTTAAGACCAAATAATTTTTTAAAATCTATTTTAACTCAATGAAGTCCAAATTTTTGTACTGCCTTCTAAATTTCCTTTATAAAATTGTGGAAGGCTCAATTACACTCAAGACTCGAGATGAACTCATGGAGAGGTGTCACATAAAGTTTACCTTTCAAAGCCACTCTTGCTACCAGATTTCCAATTCCAGACCCACTTTGCCCCCATGTGCAATCAAGCAACTGAACATAGCAATGTGAGAGATCAACCCCTACCTACTTCAAAGGAAGTTTCAAGGAAGCATGCTCAGATAGGCTGGTCCAAACCACAGGAGGGCATTATAGTGATTTGTCTCTTTTTGCCTAGCCAGCATTCTTGAATCTTGACAAGTAGATAGAAAAACATCCCCCTCCGACAGCAGTCTATATGATTACTATATTACTCAATGTCTGCATCAAACTGAGAAGAACTCATAATAGAATTGAGATCAATATTGGCAACTACAATTTAGTGAAAAAAAAAAAAACAATGACGACAAAAAACACAAGCAAATTACATGGTTGATTATAAACTATAATAGTTGAAATTTGGGTTCACTTGAAGCTAAGTATTTAACAGAGGATGTCACTGGTAAGAAGCTTTTAGCTACTAAAATTCTCAATTGCAAAAATGATCTAGTCAAGGCGTATTGTTGAATAATTTCATGAGACTATGCATATTCTTGAATTTAATCAACATGGAAAATAAACGAAACTATAACGGTCTCATCCATTACGAAAAACAAATTGAATGCTAAGAACCAAACACAGAACAAAGTATGGACAAACAAAAATATTATTTTCCTTACTGTTAATAGTATTTGGTCAAAGTTAAAGACTAACGACACTTGTTAGGCAACGTTCCTAATTGTTTTTGTCAGTTGTCCACGATGCCCAATAAACAAATTTCCGTTTTCTACTAATTTTTATTATATTTATGAATATTTTTATTACTGTTATAATATTTAAAAAAATAGTAAAAATAATTACCAAAATAATAGTAAAACTATTCACAAACACGGTAAATCATTTATCAAATTGATAATTTTTTTTTTATCGAAGGAAAGTGATAAAAATAATAATCACAAATGTGGTAAAAACATCCATAACAGTTGATGATGAACAAAAATGAATTTATATACTATTTGTCAAGTATTAATGTAATAGTAAATAATGAGAGATAACACAACTAAAATATAATTTAAGTGATTCGGTTAAAATGACATCTCTCTACTGTGAAAGGCTAGAATGACTAGAGTATTTTATGTGAGGTGTTAGTGAGATGCCCCATGTGTAGGTGAAATTTATAATTTATAGACGTCTCTTAATAAATAATGGCATCTTTTTCATATCACATGACGCAGTTTGATAGTGGTGAACATCCTCGCCAGGATGGCGTGGTTCACTGAGTTTTAGTGAGCTGATCAGATTTTGGTGTTTTTTCTAGGCCAAACCCATTGAGCCTTATGTGGGTTGGGCCCACTATCTGAGTTGGGCCTTGGGCCTTGGGCCAAGTCGGGCCCATCAACAATGATAAGAATAGAGATTTATGGAGGTCAGCACCTCCCAAAAAATTTAATAAGATAAAAGTATATTTTTTTTTAAAATAATTGAGATACAAGTACATATGTTAAAAAAACCCCTACCATAAATAGTACTTACTTAATTAAATGGGAGACTTTCAAGATTAGAATGTGAAATTTTCAAGATTTTTTTTTATATTTGTATATCATTTAAATTTTAAAATTTCATATATATATACACAAACGGGCGCACGCGTGTGTAATACTATGAAATCAAACAGTGAAACGCTCAACAAAAAAAGAGTAACATCAAACAGTAACACAAATATATATATATATATATATATAATTTCAAAATTCAAATGATACTCAAATATCAAAAGGAATGTTGAAAGTCTCACATTGTAATTTTGAAAATCTTATATTCAAGTAAGCATGCACTATTTATGGTAGAGGTAATTATGGAATACATTTTAGAAAAAATTTGAAAACATTTTAAAATTATGTACTTATTGACAACTATTTGATGAAAAAGAGAACTTAAAGGAGGATAAGTTTAGAGGTAGTCTTTAAAACCAAAAAAGTTTTGGAAAAGACACTCGCATCCTATTATCTTATAAAAATATTCATAAAAATGGTAAATGTTTTTATTATAAAATAATTCACAAAATTTATTAAAATATTTATTAAAATAATAAAAATTAGAGTTACGGTACTAAAAAATTTTGTCGTAACCTTGCCAAGTCCTAATTTTGAAGTTCCTCCGCAACGTCACTGCTAACATCAACACAAAATCTGAAACACTCCCCGTCAACGCCCATTACACCAATCGTCTGATGTCACTTTTGAAGTTGCAAACCCCATCTTGAGTTTTTCTTGTTTATTGATTATAATAATTTACACAACAGGCCATCTAAGTGTTTAATTTCTTATCTTTTTTTTTTCTCAATAATCTCTGAGTCAACTTTTGTGTACATCAATTAATCTCTTCTCCAATCCGGTCAAAAATAAATTATTTATACTAGAACTAAAAAATTCATGAGGAATAAATTTTTATTTAATTTGATTTCAAAAAATTATCAAAATTTAAACTTGTGACAACTAGGTTTATAAATTACCGCTTAGAGCTACAGAACATGGGAAACTTCATGGAAATTCTTTGTCTAGAGAGTTGATTGTATTTAGTATTGAAATAATCAACATTTGAGATCACAGAATACAAGTTTCACAAACTTAGAAATATAATCGATCCCCTTTGAGTACTCTAAACCAGTCCCATGGACAATCTTCACCCCCCCAACCATGGCCAAAATGGCCTCAAAGAAACACAAATAATTGTGGTAATGGTGCCGTTACCAGCTCAAGGTCATCTCAATCAGCTTCTCCACTTAGCCCGTCTCATCTCATCCTATGGTATACCAGTCCACTTCGTGGGTACCACCACCCACAACCGCCAAGCCAAGCTTCGTATCCATGGTTGGGATCCTCTGGCCACCACCAACATCCATTTCCATGAATTTCCAACCCCTTCGTTTCCCTCTCTCCCTCCCGACCCTAATGCCTCTTTCCCATCACATATGGTGCCATTACTAAAAGCTTCAATGAACCTTCGTGAGCCTGTAGGCACACTTCTACGAACACTCTCAGCAGCAACTAAAAGAGTCATCGTTATTCATGACTCTCTAATGGCCTCGGTTGTCCAGGACGTGCCCTCGATACCAAGTGCAGAATCCTATTGTTTTCGAAGTATCTCCGCTTTTGCTACCTCTTTGTTCCGCTTCGCAAGGCGAAAAACTTTTCCTATTGACGCCGAAATACTAAAAGAAGCTCCGTCAATCGAAAGCTGTTCAACATCAGAGTTCTGGGAGTTTCGTCGGACACAACTTGAGCATAGGATCTTCAACTCTGGAAATCTTTGCAACACGTCCAGGGTAATAGAAGATCGATACATTGATATGCTTGCACAGGAGCAGGTTGATGGAACGTCGAAGCATTGGGCTATTGGGCCATTCAATCCGGTGGATTTATTGAAGAACAAAAATTCAATTAGGCGTCATTCATGCTTGGAGTGGCTTGACAAACAGGTTCCAAAATCTGTGATTTTTGTATCTTTTGGAACCACCACTTCATTATCTGATGATCAAATCAAAGAGCTTGCAATTGGATTAGAACAAAGCGGGCAGAAATTCATCTGGGTATTGAGAGATGCAGATAAAGGAGATATATTTGCAGGGGAGGAGAGAAAAGTTGAACTGCCAAAAGGATATGAAGAGAGGTTGGAAGGAAGAGGAATTGTGGTGAGAGACTGGGCACCCCAATTGGAAATTTTGGGCCATCCTTCAACAGGTGGTTTCATGAGTCATTGTGGATGGAATTCATGCATGGAGAGTATGAGCATGGGAGTGCCAATAGCAACTTGGCCAATGCATTCAGACCAACCGGGTAATGCTCTGCTGATAACGAAGGTGCTGAAAGTGGGTCTGGTGGTGAAGGATTGGGCATGCAGAGATGAGATTGTGACATCGTTATCGGTAGAAAAGGCTATTAAAATATTGATGGCATCGACCGAAGGAGAGGAGATCAGCAAGAGGGCAGCCGAATTGGGAGGTGCTATACGGCGATCTGTAGAGGAAGGCGGTGCTACTCGCATGGAGTTTGATTCCTTTATTGCTCACATCACTAGATAGACTTGTTTGTACCAAAATCTGATTCAAAATTTTCTGATTATTGCTCATATCACTACGCTGGGATGCTCTGTATTGCGGTAGAATAAGAGAAATGAGGAAGAAGATTTTACATCCGGAGAAAGAAAACAGAATCGCTCTATACTTCTATAAAGAAAAAGATATAGTATTACTCTATTGTCTATACTAACCCATTAATAACTACACTTCTAAATTTAGGAAATCACATGAATAGAGGCTGATGGGACATTTCCGGAATACTCCAAGATGAAGACACGTATCCTCGGTATCACTGATTCTTGTTATCGAGATCACGTACCCATCGGGTCACAAGTCCCCTCTACCCCGAGGTACTTATCATGGGATCGAGTGACATCCAGTACGTTTTTATGTACCGACACTTACCCTCGGTCTGATATGGTACATCGGTCTCTAGGCCTCCCCTCTCGGATTCAAAATGTACCTATTCCTTTGTTTTCGAGATGTACCTCTTCCTCGGCTCCGAGATGTACCTTTTCCTTGGCTCTGAGATGTACCTCTTCCTCGATACCGAGATGTACCCCTCTCATCCACGATGAAGTTCTCAGCTCCAGCAGAGGTTATTGATGCACTGGTCACTAGCTTAGGCTAGGCTAGGTTAGCTATCATGACCTCGTCTTACACAATTGGTGTCAGAAGGCACAGGAAGGCAGGGGCCACAGCCAATGAGGAATGGACGCGTGACATATTGTGTCACATCAAAGACAGAAAGACCGCATGACCTTGCTGACACGCAACTTGGAAAAACAAGCATTTAATTACATCATTTCCTTGATGAGACTGCATTCAATGCGGTAAGGCTCAGAAATGAAAGACAATAAATGTCTCTAAGGTTGGGCATTTATTGCATCCTCCCCGAGAGGAGCTCATTGAACCGTCGGCAGGCCGATCACACAGACTTGATTGCTCGGGGTCCCGAGCTGTTAAGAGAGAAAACATTCCTCATAGGAATCAGTGCGCACGTTGCCTGTATCTAATGATCACCTACTGACCACACTGACAACAATCATGAGTATTTGAGGTATAAATACTCCTCACTAAAGGCAAGAACAAGGGGTGAAACTTTTGCTACAAATTACACTCAGTGTTTTCTTCTTCATCTCTCTCAAAAACTAACTTGATCGTCGGAGGGGATACGCCGAAAAACACTCCGGCGCCCTTCTAACTTTTTCTTCTTTGTTCCAGGAACCTTTCTTCAGTCTTACTGGATCGTTCCTTTGATCTGCGAGGGTCTCCCATTACCATATCAGGTTACCACCGGATCTCACAGGCTGTTCCAAGCAGCGTGGTTGACCACTCAACTGACTCACTCAAGTTCACCAAGGGAGAGATATGTTCTCGTTTTTATATTGTGCAAGATCTAGCACGAACAATCTGGCGCCGTCTGTGGGAAACGACTAATTTTTCTAGTTTTTTTCTCTATAAAGAACAGTGACCATGGTGAACACTCGACAAAAAGGGAAAGGTCCCCACCAAAGAAGTCTCGAATTACAAGCTCCCTGTCACCACGGAGGAAAGGATCACACTGATGGGAATAAAAATGTCTCTACTCAGTCAAGAGGGATTACCCCTCAAACCAGTATGGGAATCAGGTCAGGAGGATCAGCCCCCCTAGCTCGTCAGCTGGCGGATGTGATCGAAGAAAAGTTTGGCGATAGATTACGACAGCTGGAAAAGGACAATGTAAACTTCCTAAGCTAGCTCAACGAATTTATCGCCTCCGGTGAAGGGTCGAGGGACTCATTCCTCTCTCGTGGGCTCCCCGTCCGGGAGGCGGAAACGAAGAATTTAAGGAATCATCTAAACAACAAGGCAGAAATCTCCAGGGCCCCAAAGCGACCGAGAGCCAACGAGCACCCTCCTAACGACCATTCAAGGAAGGCAAGGCAATTAGCCCTGGATGACCTCCGGCGAGGATTGTCTAGACGGAGGAAGAGAGATGAGTCCGAGGAGGATTCTACCCTATCCACACGGCGCCCAAGAAAATTGGGAGCCTATTGATGAACTCAAAGACTTCAGAAGACATCCCATCAGGGAGGAAATTGATCTCAGAGCCCGGTTGGAATCCAGGAGAAAGAGTAAGGCTGTCCAGGATGAGGTTGAAGACGAGGTCATACAAACACCCTTTACCAGGGAGATCGGAGAGATGGAGGTTTCAAGAAAGTTTGTCGTGCCAAGGTTCAAAACTTATGACGGGCGGTCCGATCCCGAAGCCCATCTCAGGCAATACAAGCAGATGATGTCCCTCTATCATTCGGACCAACGGTTCCTCTGCCGAGTGTTTCCTATGAGCTTGGGGGACTCTGCGATGAAGTGATTCGAGGCGCTCCCCCTCAATAGTATTGATCGTGGAAGGAATTGACAAGGCAGTTCCTGACTCGATTCATTACGGGGAGTAAGCGTCCCAAAGACGTTGGATCATTGCTAACGCTCAGACGTAGGGAATCCGAGACCCTTCACTAGTATGCCATCCGATATTGAGAAGAGGTTAATGAGGTAGAAGGTTGCTTGAAAGTCATGGCAGCGGCGTCTTTCAAGCTCGTCTTGGCGAGGGACACGGACCTATACCGATCCCTGACTAAGAAGACTCCCTCGGATATGGGCGAGCTGATGGCCCGGATAAACAAGTACTCAAGGATCGAGGACGAGATGAGAAGCAACAAAGGCCGAACCCTCCAATCTAAGAGAAAAGAGAGGGAGCGGGAGGATACTCCCCGAAAGGGATTGCTACCCCCTCCAGGGGGTTTGTCCAAAGGGTTCATACTATGTTCAAGGAACCCATCTTCAAGTTGCTCCATAAAATCAAGCATGAGCCGTTTTTCAAGTGGCCGTCCAGGATGCAGAGCGATCTCTCCACCCGTGATCAAAAGGTTAGGTGTTCCTATCATCGGGATTTCGGACATCGCACCGAAAGCTGCAGGGTATACAAATCGTTCTTGAAAAAATTGATCCGAGACGGATACTTGAAAGAATACATAGAGCTCAGGCCAGAAGAGAGACACACCCTTGCCCCGACCGAGGAGCCGGACAACGTTATAGATGTCATCCATGTATGTCCCTTGGATCGCCCCACGTCCAAGGAACTCGAGTCCGACCTCAAGAGGGTAGTTTTTACAAGGAAGGTAACCGAGGATGATGGAGGGCCACCCAGTAAAAGGGTCAGGGCTGGTGAGCCCAGCATCACGTTTTTCGACGCGAACTTGATAGGCGTAGTGACTCCTCATAACGACGCCCTTGTCTTGACCTTGAAGATAGGAAAATTCGACGTCAAAAGGGTGTTGATAGACTCTAGAAGTTCCTCGGAAGTGATGTACTCCGAGACTTTAAAACAGATGGGTCTTGGCCTCAAGGACCTCACCAAGGTCAGGACACCCCTCATCGGATTCAACGGCTCGTTCGCCCTGCCCGTAGGCAAAATCACATTATCAGTTGTCACGGGTCCCTTCGTCATCAACACCGAGTTTGTCGTAATTGATACGGACCCTCCCTACAACGTGATTAATGCGCACGACATCCTAAGTAGGGAAAACGGCTAGGGGCAATGATGAAGCAGTTGGGGTTGTTGCAAAACCCTTCGTCTCCTTACAATGCGTGTCCTCGGTGTCAGAAGATCGAAGGCTGGGGGCAGTTGATGGGACATTTCTGGAATACTCCAAGATGAAGACACGTGTCCTCGGTGTCACTGATCCTTGTTATCGAGATCACGTACCCATCGGGTCACAAGTCCCCTCTACCCCGAGGTACTTATCATGGGATCGAGTGGCATCCAGTACGTTTTTATGTACCGGCACGTACCCTCGGTCTGATATGGTACATCGGTCGCTAGGCCTCCCCCTTTCGGATTCAAGATGTACCTATTCCTTGGTTTCTGAGATGTACCTCTTCCTCGGCTCTGAGATGTACCTCTTCCTCGGTACTGAGATGTACCCTCTCATCCATGATGAAGTTCTCTGCTCCAGCAGAGGTTATTGATGCACTGGTCACTAGCCTAAGCTAGGCGAGGTTAGCTATCATGACCTAGTCTTACACAATTAGTGTCAGAAGGCACAAGAAGGCAGGGGCCACAGCCAATGAGGAATGGACGCGTGACATATTGTGTCACATCAGAGACAGAAAGACCGCATGACCTTGCTGACACACAACTTGGAAAAACAAGCATTTAATTACACCATTCCCTTGATGAGACTGCATTCAATGCGGTAAGGTTCAGAAGTGAAAGACAATAAATGTCTCTAAGGCTGGACATTTATTGCATCCTCCTCGAGAGGAGCTCATTGAACCGTCGGCAGGCCGATGACACAGACTTGATTGCTCGGGGGTCCCGAGCAGTTAAGAGAGAAAACATTCCTAATAGGAATCAGTGCGCACGTTGCCTGTATCTAATGATCACCTACTGACCACACTGACAACAATCATGAGTATTTGAGGTATAAATACTCCTCACTAAAGGCAAGAACAAGGGGTGAAACTTTTGCTACAAATTACACTCAGTGTTTTCTTCTTCCTCTCTCTCAAAAACTGACTTGATCGTCGGAGGGGATACGCCGGAAAACACTCCGGCGCCCTTCTAACTTGTTCTTCTTTGTTCCAAGAACCTTTCTTCAGCCTTACTGGATCGTTCCTTTGATCCGTGAGGGTCTCCCATTACCGTTCCAGGTTATCACCGAATCTCACAGGTTGTTCCAAGCAGCGTGGTTGACCACTCAACTGACTCATTCGAGTTCACCAAGGGAAAGATTTGTTCTCGTTTTTATGTTATGCAAGATCTAGCACGCACAGAGGCCACAAAATTTTCTCAAAGTGTACACAACTAGTATTGGAAATCATAAAATTGCCTGTATTATATCTAAAATTTAAGCTCCACTTCCTACAGGCGTTTGATCAAACTGGTAGTATGCACCTTTGAATCTTTTACTTAACATCACCGCCATTTTGCGATCTCCTAAACTTTCTCTTTCAATTGAAGTGCCAACGTTGTTCGGCCACAAGCGCGCCCTGAATTATGGATCTCGGCTGTTGGCTAATGATGGACGGTGGATCTCAAGTTGTCGGGTGGGTTTTCAGGTGAAGGGCCAATGTTTTTCTTCAGATGCAATTGGGTTCTTTTGTTAACT